CTGTGTCCCTGAGTAACGATTCTGTGTCCCTGAGTAACGATTCTGTGTCCCTGAGTAACAATTCTGTGTCCCTGAGTAACGATTCTGTGTCCCTGAGTAACGATTCTGTGTCCCTGAGTAACAATTCTGTGTCTGTGTCCCTGAGTAACGATTCTGTGTCCCTGAGTAACAATTCTGTGTCCCTGAGTAACGATTCTGTGTCCCTGAGTAACGATTCTGTGGCCCTAAAGTCTGCTGTGGCCCTAACTCTGTCCCTAATACAGACAGGTCTGTCTCTCTTGAATGACCGGAGGCTAATGGAGAATTCTAAGATGGCCGCGATTTATAGCTCCACCATTACACAGTGCTGGCTGGCTGGCTGCTGATTGGCTAATGCGATCACATGTCATGAATGAATGCATTATGGGTCAGCGCGCCTTGTCTGCGCGCCTTCCCAGAGATCCCCGCTCCGTCGCCACACATGTCGCCGCCATTTTTGGGAAAATTCGATTCGTGCATCCGCAGTTTGCTAATTTTCGGATTCGGCGCGAATCGAATTTTTCCTAATCTTCGAAACGAATTCCACTTCGTCATGTTCGATTCGCTCATCTCTAATGTTAACGGATGCGGACATTTCCGAATGTAAACAGATGGTTATCCGTTTACATCAGCTAGTCCACAGAAAAACACAGGTATCTGTTTTTCATCCGTAAACGGACAGATGAAAAACGGCCATATGGAAACACCTGTGTGAAAGGGGCCTTATTTTGCTTTGTATGAGCAAAGTTTGGGTTTGCCTAAAGTATCAAAGATTGGAACCATCTGTAAAAATGTTTCAGAATTGGATACGTTGTTCTAAGTGTGTGCTATAAGCCATTACTTCTGAATATTAAGGAATGAATAAATAATAAAGGAACAATTTGCATGCTCCTTTCGTGATCTGAGTTTTTGAAGCTTAGAAGTCCAGAACAAGTTTAGCAGCGACAGTTAATTTGACAATCACTCTATTAGTAGTTTTTATGACTAACAGCAGGTCTGAGAACTAGTAACATGCACAGGTGCACATTCCTAGTTCTCTGCAGCAATTTTAACATTGTCATAGCAAGGGACATTTAGCATTTAAACTTGTACTTAAGTCACAAAAGGGTTAAACAAGAATCTAAAGAAACTACAATCAGAATATAAAAGAGCCCATAAACTGACATACTACAAGTTCAGTACACTAGTATAGTTCTGTAGTATAGCTACACAGCTGTAGGTGGTGGTATGAGGCGGACAATTTGAAAAGGGCAAAGAATAAATAAACTTCATCATATACCAAAGCTCATAAAGGACAGGCCTAGAAAAGAATGGCTTTGAATTCCTGGGCGGCATCTATGAGGTCTAGGTAATGGCCTAATCAGTCTCAAAGGAAGTACATATTTTAACTGCCTCTTGCTACGAACTGTATAGCCTGCAGGTTACCTGCAGTAGTTGTGATTTCCCAGTCCGAATTGTAAAGCCTCTCTGTGCTGTGCAGTGTATTTCTTCCCAATGAGCCCTGGATAGTTCCAGTTTCCACAAACTGCTCCGCTCACTGTGCGGCTGTGATTTCCTCTGTACGACTCTCCGGAGCCCTCGTAACATGTAGCCCGTTTGTCTGCAGAAAGAGACACAGAGACAGTGAGCATCACCTTTCTGTGACATTTGTGCCAATAACACAATTCTTCAGTAATGCATTCATATTATCACAATGTACAGATCCTGAGCATTCTTCCATCATTCATTATCAGTGTATAGAGATACTCATCATCATACAGAGCACAGTGTTCATTATCAGTGTATAGAGATACCCGGCATCATTATACAGAGCACAGGGTTCATTATCAGTGTATAGAGATACTCGGCATCAGTATACAGAGCACAGTGTTCATTATCAGTGTATAGAGATACCCGGCATCATTATACAGAGCACAGTGTTCATTATCAGTGTATGGAGATACCCGGCATCATTATACGGAGCACAGTGTTCATTATCAGTGTATGGAGATACCCGGCATCATTATACGGAGCACAGTGTTCATTATCAGTGTATAGAGATACTCGGCATCATTATACAGAGCACAGTGTTCATTATCAGTGTACAGAGATACTCGGCATCATTATCAGTGTATAGAGATACTCAGCATCATCATACAGAGCACAGTGTTCATTATCAGTATATGGAGATACTCGGCATCAGTATACAGAGCACAGTGTTCATGATCAGTGTATAGAGATACTCGGCATCATTATACGGAGCACAGTGTTCATTATCAGTGTATAGAGATATTCATCATTATACAGAGCACGGTGTTCATTATCAGTGTATAGAGATACTCTGCATCATTATACAGTGCACAGTGTTGATTATCAGTGTATAGAGATACCCGGCATCATTATACGGAGCACAGTGTTCATTATCAGTGTATAGAAATACCCGGCATCATTATACGGAGCACAGTGTTCATTATCAGTGTATAGAGATACCCGGCATCATTACACGGAGCACAGTGTTCATTACCAGTGTATAGAGATACTCATCATCATACAGAGCACAGTGTTCATTATCAGTGTATAGAGATACCCGGCATCATTATACAGAGCACAGTGTTCATTATCAGTGTATGGAGATACCCGGCATCATTATACGGAGCACAGTGTTCATTATCAGTGTATGGAGATACCCGGCATCATTATACGGAGCACAGTGTTCATTATCAGTGTATAGAGATACTCGGCATCATTATACAGAGCACAGTGTTCATTATCAGTGTACAGAGATACTCGGCATCATTATACAGAGCACAGTGTTCATTATCAGTGTACAGAGATACTCGGCATCATTATACAGAGCACAGTGTTCATTATCAGTGTACAGAGATACTCGGCATCATTATACAGAGCACAGTGTTCATTATCAGTGTACAGAGATACTCGGCATCATTATACAGAGCACAGTGTTTATACAGAGCATCAGTGTTCATTATCAGAGAGATACTCGGCATCATTATACAGAGCACAGTGTTCATTATCAGTGTATAGAGATACTCGGCATCATTATACAGAGCACAGTGTTCATTATCAGTGTACAGAGATACTCGGCATCATTATACAGAGCACAGTGTTCATTATCAGTGTACAGAGATACTCGACATCATTATACAGAGCACAGTGTTCATTATCAGTGTATAGAGATACTCGGCATCATCATACAGAGCACAGTGTTCATTATCAGTGTATAGAGATACTCAGCATCATCATACAGAGCACAGTGTTCATTATCAGTATATGGAGATACTCGGCATCAGTATACAGAGCACAGTGTTCATGATCAGTGTATGGAGATACTCGGCATCATTATACGGAGCACAGTGTTCATGATCAGTGTATAGAGATACTCGGCATCATTATACGGAGCACAGTGTTCATTATCAGTGTATAGAGATATTCATCATTATACAGAGCACAGTGTTCATTATCAGTGTATAGAGATACTCTGCATCATTATACAGTGCACAGTGTTGATTATCAGTGTATAGAGATACCCGGCATCATTATACGGAGCACAGTGTTCATTATCAGTGTATAGAGATACTCGGCATCATTATACAGAGCAGCACAGTGTTCATTATCAGTGTATAGAGATACTCATCATTATACAGAGCACAGTGTTCATTATCAGTGTATAGAGATACCCGGCATCATTACACAGAGCACAGTGTTCATTATCAGTGTATAGAGATACTCGGCATCATTATACAGAGCAGTGTTCATTATTAGTGTTTATAGAGATACTCGGCATCATTATACGGAGCACAGTGTTCATGATCAGTGTATGGAGATACTCGGCACCATTACACAGAGCACAGTGTTTATGATCAGTGTATAGAGATACTCGGCATCATTACACAGAGCACAGTGTTCATTATCAGTGTACAGAGATACTCGGCATCATTATACAGAGCACAGTGTTCATTATCAGTGTATAGAGATACTCGGCATCATTATACAGAGCAGTGTTCATTATCAGTGTATAGAGATACTCGGCATCATTATACGGAGCACAGTGTTCATTATCAGTGTATGGAGATACTCGGCATCATTACACGGAGCACAGTGTTCATGATCAGTGTATGGAGATACTCGAAACCATTATACGGAGCACAGTGTTCATGATCAGTGTACGGAGATACTCGGCATCAGTATACGGAGCACAGTGTTCATTATCAGTGTATGGAGATACTCGGCATCATTATACGGAGCACAGTGTTCATTATCAGTGTATGGAGATACTCGGCATCATTATACAGAGCACAGTGTTCATTATCAGTGTATAGAGATACTCGGCATCATTATACAGAGCACAGTGTTCATTATCAGTGTATAGAGATACTCGGCATCATTATACAGAGCACAGTGTTCATTATTAGTGTACAGAGATACTCGGCATCATTATACAGAGCACAGTGTTCATTATTAGTGTACATAGTTATGTATGTTTGTAATACCTCCATACCATGGAGGTCCGTACCTATTTCACAGTATTCTCCGGAGAATCCGCTGAGACATAGGCAGAGATGGTGTGAGGAGTACAGGGCCTTGCGACAGCGACCTCCATTGTAGCACTTCAGTTCTGAACAGTCTGTTGGTGAAGGTGATGGTAGATGAATATTTTTGATTTATTAAGCCACAGAGTTAGTCTGACCAGAGGTTTGTTAGCAGCAGCTCAGGATGGCTTTCACAAGTAAAGGCCACCATTACTGTTTTAAGTTACCCATGTAAGATCCTATAGTTACATCTCCTTTCTTGATTGTTCCTTGTCAACATAATGCAAACAGCAGTGTTACACAATACCCCATAGCAACTAGCAAGATTTCAGCTGTTATTACTTTAGAATTGTTATAACAAAGAAAGATGATTTCATATTGGCGGCTATGGAAAACAGCTGTTTCGAAAAGTCCTAACTCTATCCATTCAGCACCACTGGTGTTTGTAACAGTTTTTATTCTGCCCTTACTCATGAATGGCACACTATGACATTGATTCCGCCCATCCTCACAGCGACAGAACTCTACCCTCCGTCCTGCAGGGCGCAGCCAGGTTTCATTGTCCTTGAAGACTCTTCCGGAGGACTTTTCACTACACAAGGCTGTGGAGACAGGAGAAAAGAAGGAAATTTAGTTGATCAGTCTGTTGAGACTTACACATCAGAATCTCACCTAAAAGTAACAACTGGTAAATAATTACACTTGTATGTCCTTGTTCCTCTCTTCTCTCGAAGGTGGACAACCTACATAAGAAAGCAGATAAGTTTTAGTAGGTCTGCTCTAAACAAAAAAGATAATCAATATAAAACAAATATATAAAAATATTATAAAAAAACAGTGCAGCGCTGAAGATAGTAATAATAAAACAAATAAGTCCACTGCAAGTCCAGTTCATAGAAACATTTCAGGTGACAAGTGGAAATTCAATGTTGGTGATCCGTGAGGAAGTGGCTGAAATACGCACTCACCAGAAAGAAGATATATATAAGCAGTATATATCAAAAGCCCATGGATCCTCAATCCAGAAGGAACAAAGCTGGTCTGGTCACAGAAAGTGGGTCCCTCCTTTAAGGATGCTGCAAAAGATCTTCCTCCTCCCAGTTTGGTATTGGATTCCAAAGTCAGGGTTCTGCAAAGTGCTCCTGTAGGTACTGTGAATATCTTCTATATTTGCACCGTTTAGGAGATATTCACGCTACATTCGGCCGGTGATGTCACCTTCACATGCACTCTGAAGGTTTGCTTCCCCTTATCTCCATTCCACAGTTTTATCAAGCTTCCCCAGCTTCATGATAGAGCTGCACAACCTCTGATGACCAGCGGATGAACACGCTGCTTGTTACTAATGACCATTTGATCTGAGTCTTTGAGCGCAGGAGATAATGGATCTTTGGTCCAGCACGGTATGCCAGACCTTCAGAGTGCATGTGAAGGTGACATCACCGGCCGAATGTAGCGTGAATATCTCCTAAACGGTGCAAATATAGAAGATATTCACAGTACCTACAGGAGCACTTTGTTTGCAGAACCCTGACTTTGGAATCCAATACCAAACTGGGAGGAGGAAGATCTTTTGCAGCAACCTTAAAGGAGGGACCCACTTTCTGTGACCAGACCAGCTTTGTTCCTTCTGGATTGAGCATCCATGGGCTTTTGATATATACTGCTTATATATATCTTCTTTCTGGTGAGTGCGTATTTCAGCCACTTCCTCACGGATCACCAACATTGAATTTCCACTTGTCACCTGACATGTTTCTATGAACTGGACTTGCAGTGGACTTATTTCTGTTTTATTATTACTATCTTCAGCGCTGCATTGTTTTTTATGTTATTCTGTATAAGTATATATCGGTTGCTTAGAGTGCTCAGCTGCTGTTTAGGACCAGCGCTCACTGTTCTTTCCTTTTAGATATAAAAATATTAGAACTAATTATAAGGCATGTGGTCGCTACAGTAATAAGGGGTTCAAGAAAAGTGCTCAAATTACACACAGTTGCAGATTATTGTTTTTAAAATATTTAACAAATAATCACCCAATATAGGGTGCCTCCATGGCAAAGGTTTTATGAAGAAGCAGAAGCTGTTTGCTTCGAGACTGTCTCTCTGTAATTGAAACATTAAATTCTGGAGTAAATTAAGAGGAGAAGGGAGAGAAGGAACAGTCACTGTTGTATATGTGTAAATTTCAGCTTCAGCTACTAAAGAATTGGCTTTTTCGTTAAACCAGTTTAGGTCAGATTGCTTAACATTTGAAAAGTAGCCTAAAGTAGCCTAAAGATTAACATTTTGCCTAGAAATAAAAGTGCTACATATTACTATACAATATTTTATAGTTATCAAACTAAAACATTAAAAAATATTGGCAAGCTTACATTTTTTTTTAGCTCCAACCATACTAAAGTCAATGTACAAAAAACCACTATACAAACCCTTTAAATAAAGTGGTGGCTGCTTGGAATCACATAGATCACTCTGCCACTCTACCAAAGAAACACAATTTTTAACTTATATACTCACACAGTACAAAGAAAAATGGCATGTGTTAGCCCATCGCAACCAATTCAGAGCTTAGGTTTCAGCAACCTGTACTTAGTAATAGTATGCTTAGAATGTTGATTTATGGATGGTTGCTGCAAGTCACCAGAATTTAGTTTGATAATCAACTTATTATGTATATGCTTACCTCTTCTGTTGAAGATACAACCTCAAAGAGGATGAGGGTCATGAAAATATTCATAGCTCTGATCTTTAAAGACATGTTAGACTGCAAGAAAAAGAAAAAAGATGTAGTAGAACAAAACCCAGGTAGGTTAAAAGTAACTGTCATAAGTCATAAGAAAATCAGGGCCTTCCATTATGGATTGACTTCTGAAAATGATGAATGTCTCACTGTCTTACTGACCCAGGCCAGTGGCTTCCAATTTTTACAATGGTTTACATTTCTTATCTGGCTTTTTCCCAGCTGTATGAGACATCACACTATCAATGCTGAGGTGGATAATGTCCCTGGTTTATATTATCTCAGAACACTTAAATAAACTCATTAATGTGGCCCAGCATGGAAAATGCTGAATAAAACAAAATACAAAGTCTGAAGAATGATCAAAGCACATGTTCCTCTATAGTAGCCTTTCTCAGCCTTTTTACCATTGAGAAACCCTTGAGATAGTTTTCAGGTCTCAGAGAATTACATTAGTGTGATCAGTAGGTTGTAGAGATTTATAAATAAAAGAATAAAGAATGGGGTTTACTTAAAGTGATTGTAAAGGCAAAAATGTATATATTTTTTTAAAAGACAAATATGATATATTTACCTACTCTGTTCAATGGAATTGCACAAAATGGCCCCGAACCTCTTCCTCTTGGTTACCCCGCTTCTGGCTCCTCCTCTTCAATGAATACCCTCATAGGAAGCCACTTCCTATGGGGGGCACTCATGCAGGTTCAATCCCAAGCCATGCTGTCTGCATGCATAGACACAGACAGTGCAACTCAGCCCCCACCCCCTACTTCCTCATCACAAGGCACAGTGATGGATCGAGTGTGTGGTAAGTATGAGGGGGGTGAGGGGGTGATACTGATGCCTGATAATGATGGCCAGAAAGGAAATACAGACAGTGGAAATTGTAGAAAAACATTACATTGAATGAAGTGAACCCTTACATTGGTGGTCAGTGTAGAAGTGACCCCTTACATTGATGGTCCTCGTGGAAGTGACCCCTTACATTGGTGGTCCTCGTGGAAGTAACCCTTTACATTGGTGGTCCTTGTAGAAGTGACCCCTTACATTGTTGGTCATTGTAGAAGTGGCCCCTTACATTGGTGGGAAGTGTAGAAGTGACCCCTTACATTGGTGGTCCCTTCAGAAGTGACCCCATACATTGATGGGAAGTGTATAGGTGACCCCTTACATTGGTGGTCCTTTTAGAAGTGACTCCTTACATTGGTGGGAGGTGTAGAAGTGACCGTTTACATTGGTGTTTAGTGTGGAAGTGACCCCTTACATTGGTGGTCCTTGTAGAAGTGACCCCTTACATTGTGTGGTCCCCTTATTGTAGATAGTGGCCCCTTACATTGGGAAGTGTGGTGAAGGTGTAGAAGTGACCCTTACATTGGTGGTCCTTATAGAAGTGACCTTACTTACATTGGTGGTGGAAGTGTAGAAGTGTATTGGTGACCCTCTTACATTGGTGGGTAACCCCTCTTTGTAGAAGTGACTCCCTACATTGGTGGGAGGTGTAGAAGTGACCGTTTACATTGGTGTTTAGTGTGGAAGTGACCTCTTACATTTGTGGTCAATGTACAAGTGACCCTTTGAAATGGGGGTCAGTGTAGGCAGGAGATCAATCTGCCACTGCTCTCTTCTATAGGAACCCCTAGCAACTTCTGAAGGAACTCCAGGGTTCTGCTAAACTCTGATTGAGAAAGACTTCTATATGGCATGCCCTGTCTACCTCTCATTCCTGCTGGTCACAATGATAGAAAAACACTATTAGCCCTGGTTTACATTGAATGGGGCTTTGAAATCGCGCTACTTCATTTGAATTAGTATGATTTCAAAGCCGCTGATCAGTGCGATTTCATGTGTGGCTTACCGGACATCTGTACGACTTCATGCACAGATGTCTAAGCAAGACGCACATAGAATCGGCACAAATAGCGCAGGAACCTTTTTTCAAAATCAGTACCACACCACAAAGTCAGAATTGCACCGATTTGAACGGTTCTATATTCACAAATAGGATATGACTTGTCATGCGGTTTGGAACTGTCAAACCTCATTATGGAATCCCTGCTCAGACGCATCACAGGCGCCTGCATAAAAAAGGACCTAAGCAGGACAAAAAGAAATACTCAAAACGTGAGTGAAAATTCTGATCAAATGTAAGAAATTTGATGCAAAATAGATGTCTGTCTGGAAAGCTTTAGATTTGATTTCCTGAGATATCACAAATGACACTACTAAAAATAAAAGCCTGAAATGAAAATCATATTTATTACTGCATTTACTCTCTTCCCTGGAGTTCCAATAAAATGTTTTATAACTCTATATTCCTTGTTCCCTTTTTAAAAGCCACAATAAAAATTCTCTAATGCACTTATAAAATGCCAGGGCATAGTTTCAATGTGTTGTTTACTGGTAGAATACGCTAAGTTGCAATCCTTGGAGCCACAACAGTTACCACATCTGACAATAAGACTGAGAAGTGGACCCCCAATTCCTAGCTTCCTATCAGTTATAAATATCACTGTTACTGTTACCTTGTAAGACTGGGAAGTGGACCCCCAATTCCTGGCTTCCTATCAGTTATATATATTGCTGTTAAACTGTTAGACTAAGGAGTGGACCCCCAATTCCTGGCTTCCTGTCAATTATATATATCAGAATTACTTTTTGCAAGACTGAGGAGTGGATCCCCAATTCCTGGCTTCCTGTCAATCATATATATCAGAATTACTTTGTAAGACTGAGGAGTGGATCCCCAAATTCTGGCTTCCTGTCAATTATATATATCAGAATTACTTTGTAAGACTGAGGAGTGAACCCCCAATTCCTGGCTTCCTCTCAGTTTTCTATAACACTGTAACACTGTATCACTGAGGAGTGTACTTCCTAATTCCTGGCCTTCTATCAACTACAGTATATATACCTGTATATCCCAGTTACATTGTAAGACTGAAGAGTGGACCCCCCAATTCCTGGCCTTCTATCAGTTATATATATTTCTGTTGAGTGGAGGGGCTGTACACATTTCCTGGCCGTGATGCTTTGCATTGTGGATAATTAACACGGACTGTTGAGTTGACTGTACTGTCTGTCAAACTCACCTATTCAAGTTAATGGAACCATGCCCCGACCGCAAGCCAAACACTTGCACATTAGGCCCAATCAAAGTTGCCATTTGACAAAATAAAAACAAGCAAAAAAAAAAAAAAAAACAGGCTTTCAGGAGAAAGCAGGATCACCTCTTGAATGGATGGAAGTCAAAGCTTAGTTGGTCTCGAAAAAACTATCCACCGCAGATCCCTTATCAGAGAACTCTGTAGTGTGAAACTAGCCTTACACTTACCGTATTTGCCGGCGTATAAGACGACTGGGCGTATAAGACGACCCCCTACTTTTCCTGCTAAAATGTAGTGTTTGGGCTATACTCGCCGTATAAGACTACCCCTCTTCCAATGCACACCAGTGGGAGGAATAGTGCCCCATCATCGATGTCAGTGGGAGGAATAGTGCCCCATCATTGGTATTGTTGGCAGGAATAGTGCCCCATCATTGGCATTAGTGGCAGGAATAGTGCCCCATCATTAGTATCAGTGGGGGGAATAAGTGCCCCATCATTGGTATCAGTGGCAGGAATAGTGCCCCATCATTAGTATCAGTGGGGGGAATAGGTGCCCCATCATTGGTATCAGTGGCAGGAATAGTGCCCCATCATTGGTATCAGTGGCAGGAATAGTGCCCCATCATTAGTATCAGTGGCAGGAATAGTGCCCCATCATTGGTATCAGTGGGAGGAATAGTGCCCCATCATTGGTATCAGTGGCAGGAATAGTGCCCCATCATTGGTATCAGTGGCAGGAATAGTGCCCCATCATTAGTATCAGTGGGGGGAATAGTGCCCCATCCTTGGTGTCAGTGGGAGGAATAGTGTCCCAACATTGGTGTCAGTGGGAGGAATAGTGTCCCAACATTGGTGTCAATGGGAGGAATGGTGTCCCATCATTGGTGTCAGTGGGGGGTGGAATAGTGCCCCATCATTGATGTCAGTGGGGGTGGAATAGTGCCCCATCATTAGTATCAGTGGGGGGAATAGTGCCCCATCATTGGTGTCAGTGGGAGGAATAGTGTCCCAACATTGGTGTCAGTGGGAGGAATGGTGTCCCATCATTGGTGTCAGTGGGGGGTGGAATAGTGCCCCATCATTGGTGTCAGTGGGGGGTGGAATAGTGCCCCATCATTGGTGTCAGTGGGGGTGGAATAGTGCCCCATCGTTGGTGTCAGTGGGGAGGAGGAATAGTGCCCCATCATTGGTGTCAGTGGGAGGAATAGTGCCCCATCATTGGTGTCAGTGGGAGGAATAGTGCTCCATCATTGGTATCAGTGACACCAATGATGGGGCACTATTCCTCCCACTGACACCAATTACACTTGCTGACCCTGTTCTAGTATGGTGCTGCTGCAGCCAGCATATGTGGTTGCAGCAGCACCTCTACACTGAACACTTACCTGCTGCTCCTGCACTCAATTTTCATGGGGCTGCTTGGCCCCGCCCCCTCGCCAGTGATTGGCCGCCTGTGTGCCTTTCCTGAGCTACAGTTCTGGCGGCCAATCACCGGTGAGGAGGCGGAGCCGAGTAGCCGCGCGAACATTCAGTGGCCGAACTGAAGGAGCAGCCGCGCTTCCTGGACCGGATCGTCGTGGGACCGGAGCCAGGTAAGAAACAGCCCCTGCCCACCCCTGTACTTAGTGTCCCTTCCGTTGGAAGGGGGGGGCGGCGGCACCGCGCCGCCCCGCCCCCCTAAAAAGTGTCAGTATGCCGTATACCGGCGTATAAGACGACCCCCGACTTTTGAGAAGATTTTCAAGGGGTAAAAAGTCGTCTTATACGCCGGCAAATACGGTACTTATAACCTGTTTAGCAACCTCCTAGAAAGCTAGGGGGAGCTAGAGCCTAATTGTTAGTTAGGAGGGCTGAGTAGCAGCCTGGGTGTGATAGCCAGGTGGGTCATATTTATGTCAGAGCTGAGAGGCTCTGCAGA